GCAGACAGATGGCAGACAAACCAGATAAAAATCAGTTGATTAAACAGCTTTTTGCTTAAAAACAGACAATTAATGAGAAGAGTGCTGACTTAAACAGAGCGATCTGTAGCTGTTTAGCCTAGAAAGACTTTTTCATCTTTCACTTTCAAATATTTGCTCTTTATTCAGAGCCTGTCATCTAATCTAAGCTTTGACCTGAAGACGGACCCGTTTTTTTTATGTGTTTATTACAGAAAGTACCAACCAGCAACACAGAAGGGGGCTGGTCCTTCTCACTGGCAGAATATGTCCGTCACAACGACATGCCCATTTACGAGGCCTCTGAGCGAGTGCTTAGAGCCTTCCAAGATGAGCTCATGCCGGCTGAGTCCATCTCTGAGTTTTTCGACGTTGTAGGTCAGTATGAACGACCTCCAGTTGATTTAAGACTTACATTAATACTGCAGTATTACCTTTAACATCCCTGGGGTTTGAATGGGCTCAGATTAGGGAGTTTAAATTCTGTTTCTCTCTCTTCCAGGTCTCCTCTCTGAAATCCCAGACCCAGACCTCTTCCTGCAGGATTTGTTGAACTCTTTGCCCTGAAGACCACAAATCAAACCCGTCTAAAACACAAATATCCCTACAAGTATAATCGATAAGGCAAACTTAAAAGAAAAAGAAACTAAAGAGTTTACACTCTGAGAAACAAATAATACACACCATTAGCGTACACCATGCCTCCTGCTCATCTCCCACACCTATATCACATCCCAGAATAAGCCAAGAGAAACTTCTGTGTAGTTAAAAATAAATAAATAAATAAACAACTCTGTAACACCAAGACACTGCTGTTTAAAGGGGAACGACACACTAAAACAGAATTTACACCTTACCGGACTGATTTCAACTACTAAAGTCTTCATTAAACTCATGATCGTGTTTTTGTTTTCTTTTTTTTTCTTTTTTTTCAAGCAAGCTTGAGTAAAAAATTAAATTTTAGAAATGTGAATTTTCTGGTTTGCTGTTCTCAAAAAGCTGAAACTTCTTTTTTGGGGGGTCAGGGGTGTAGGAACATATTCAGATGTTAATTTTCTTTGGTTGAGAGTAATTACTTGTGAATTCTGTTTTGGGGTGATGCTGCTTTGGCTTCGACTTCTCCAAATTTCGGATGCAGTTTTAGAGGAACCGAAATACTTTTGGGGATATGACCCGACCCATATTAGGAGTGGCATTTGATTTTATCTTTTCCTTTTTTGTTGTTGTTTGAATTGGTTTGTGGTTAGGGAATTTTAAAATTAGCAGAGGGTTTTCATCGTCTCCTGGTTGCAGTGCCTGTCCTTTTCCTCTGCTGTTTTCTCTACAAGTTCATGTGGATTCTAACTGGAAATTTCAGTGATGGGTGGGAGAATAAAAATGTCTGGGGTTTGTTTTATCAACATCAGAAGAATTAAAAAAAGAAAAAATGTTGATTTATTCTTCCATAGATTTCTGCCTTTTTGAAGTTCGTTTATGAAAGATTCCATCTGTTGCAATGAGATATCAGACATGTCTAAAATAACAATAAAACAGACTTGCATTACATCCTTAAATACTGTCTTTGTTTTATGGTTTTGTTTCCTTAATATCTTAGGCCACTTTCCACTCTTCATTCTGACTACACTCTCTTCACATTTTAAGCAGATATTTAAGCAAAAGGGGGAAAAAAATCCTGCAACTCCCTCCTTTGCCAATCATGCAAAACGATGTTCAGATCGAAACGCATGGTGATAACTTACCCCAATTCATGATTGATTTGCTTTTTCCGCTGCTACAATGTCTGAACTGTTGCTGAATGTCTGCTCTTTGAATTTAGCTTATAAGTAATAAAGCTGGTATAAATTCAGTCTGACTCGAGGGTAAGCTCTTCTGTTTTGGCTGCTGTTTTCACATTTCAAAAGAAATACTTCTATACCTGAGCCATGCGTCACATACAGGGCTTATTTAAAAGTGTTAAACATGAAAATGATGCCATAAAGAGTATCAATCAGAGAGGTGCCAACAAGACCTGTGGAGTATCTGTGGATAGGAAAACTAATTGTGATGTATCAAACAAATGAGGGCTTTATAGGAGAAAGGAAGCCTTAGTCGGTCCAAAGTCAATCAGCAAGTTAAAAGATTCTCTAGCCAGATGAGCCTAAAATGAAACTTTTTGGCCCACATGGAAATGTCAAAGTTCAGCTGTGAATGTAATGGGGTAGAAAATCTACTGTTCTATTCCTCAAAATCCTAGTGAAGCGCAATGACATTCATAGTTACACATTTAAATAAAATGTAAAAACACTCCAGGGGTAATTAATATGTATATAGAATAGACTACTTGTTTATACGCCGCTACTGGTGGTTGAGTGTTGTAGGAAGAGTGTTTATTTCTAGTAGACGTTTCTTTCTGGAGGTTTTGTCGGCTGGATGTCAGCCAGCCCTGTAACTTCCATGTTTATCACCCACTGAAGTAACTGAAAACACTGCAGTGTCATAACATGAAATGGTCTTCCTCTGTGTTCTGGAATCTGGAAGCGGACCACTTTGGTTCAGCTGATTGAGAAGAATTAGCATCCCTCAGCTGACCTCCATGGCCAATCCAGTTGGAGGGATCAGAGCCATATTTCATTTTTCCTCTATTTGTTACACCAACAGTATATTAATCTCCGTATTAATCATCAGAACTGAGGAATACTATTGGATGAGAGGTGAAATGTCACCTAGAAAAAATCCAGTCGCCAAAACTGAACTTATAAAGCAAGAATGCAAAGAGCATCAATATGCATTAAGTCCACAGTTGACCTAAAAATAAAGTTGAGCTAATACTTGAGTCCACACGTGTGAGGCGTTGCCCTAAACTATAGAAAAGCAAAGCCCAATGATTTGATTATTTATTTTAAGCAATAGTGGTTTTATATTTAAATGTTCTTGTAATTCTTAAACGAGCTGAAACAGTTGGACGGTGTGGCTGAGCAGTCATTATGGTTAAGTGATTTCTAACCTACCAGACTTCCTTAGTTCTTTTTTTTTTTTACCACAAGTCCAGTTAGTGAAATAAATTCTATACATGTGATCATTTTTTTTATTGTAGACAGCCAAAAACTATGGATACATACAGTTTTGGGTTTTTAATGCATTTTAATTCACTTTGATTATACAACTGATGTCAACTCAATACACTTTGCAAGGGAGACTGCTATCATTGCATCTGTTAGGTGTCTTTCTGCCTCTAGGGGGCATAATACACTAACATGATGAGGTCAAGTTCTTGGGTCTGGAGCGCTCACTTACAGGTGCTGGTCATAAAATTAGAATATCATGAAAAAGTAGATTGATTTCAGTAATTCCATTTAAAAAGTGAAACTTGTATATTATATTCATACATTACATACAAACTCATATATTTCAGATGTTTATTTTGTTTAATTTTGATGATTACAAATGACAACAAATGAAAATCTCAAATTCATCATATCAGAAAATTAGAATATTGTGAAAAGGTTCAAAATTGATGGCCCCTGGTGCCACACTCTAATCAGCCAATTAACTCAAACCACCTGCAAAAGCCTTTAAATGGTCTTTCAGTCTAGTTCTATAGGCTACACAATCATGGGGAAGACTGCTGACTTGACAGTTGTCCAAAAGACGACCATCGACACCTTGCACAAGGAGGGCAAGACACAAAAGGTCATCGCTAAAGAGGCTGGCTGTTCACAGAGCTCAGTGTCCAAGCACATTAATAGAGAGGCGAAGGGAAGGAAAAGATGTGGTCGAAAAAAGTGTACAAGCAAGAGAGATAACCGCACCCTGGAGAGGATTGTGAAACAAAACCCATTCAAAAATGTGGGGGAGATTCACAAAGAGTGGACTGCAGCTGGAGTGAGTGCTTCAAGAACCACCACACACAGACGTATGAAAGACATGGGTTTCTGCTGTCGCATTCCTTGTGTCAAGCCACTCTTGAACCACAGACAGCGTCAGAAGCGTCTTGCCTGGGCTAAAGAGAAACAGGACTGGACTGCTGGTGAGTGGTCCAAAGTCATGTTCTCTGATGAAAGTAAATTTTGCATTTCCTTTGGAAATCAAGGTCCCAGAGTCTGGAGGAAAAGAAGAGAGGCACTTCATCCACGTTGCTTGAAGTCCAGTGTAAAGTTTCCACAGTCAGTGATGGTTTGGGGTGCCATGTCATCTGCTGGTGTTGGTCCATTGTGTTTTCTGAGGTCCAGCGTCAACGCAGCCACATACCAGGAAGTTTTAGAGCACTTCATGCTTCCTGCAGCTGACCAACTTTTTGGAGATGCAGATTTCATTTTCCAACAGGACTTGGCACCTGCACACAGTGCCAAAGCTACCAGTACCTGGTTGAAGGACCATGGTATCCCTGTTCTTAATTGGCCAGCAAACTCTCCTGACCTTAACCCCATAGAAAATCTATGGGGTATTGTGAAGAAGAAGATGCAATACACCAGACCCAACAATTCAGAAGAGCTAAAAGCCACTATTAGATCAACCTGGGCTATCATAACACCTGAGCAGTGCCACAGACTGATCGACTCCATGCCACGCCGCATTGCTGCAGTAATACAGGCCAAAGGAGGCCCAACTAAATACTGAGTGCTGTACATGCTCATACTTTTCATGTTCATACTTTTCAGTTGGCCAACATTTCTATAAATCCTTTGTTTTTATTGGTCTTCAGTAATATTCTAATTTTCTGATATGATGAATTTGAGATTTTCATTTGTTGTCATTTGTAATCATCAAAATTAAACAAAATAAACATCTGAAATATATGAGTTTGTATGTAATGTATGAATATAATATACAAGTTTCACTTTTTAAATGGAATTACTGAAATCAATCTACTTTTTCATGATATTCTAATTTTATGACCAGCACCTGTAAAGGCATAAAATAATCTTAAAACCTTTTCAAGATAAATCTCAGTAAATGTTTACAAAACACAAAACTGCAAACAAAAGCCTCTTGCATTTTTTTGGGATGCAAGCAACAGATCTTAATAACAATGTCTTAAATATTCTCTAAAATAAGGCATTGGCATAAATGATATCCTTGTAATGAAAGAAATATGGCTTCCTGTTTAAATAAAATAGAATCTTAATGGTCTTTATATGACCACACTAAAGTTAGTTTAAGGCAAAGAATGCACATTTGTGAGCCATTAAGGTCACATCTTCTTTCCACTTTACACCTAATAAGGTGAATATAGCAAAAAAGGAATCTAAGAGTCCCTTAGAAACATCTTTGAGATGTGCTGGACACAGTCACTATATTTCAAATGTTCTCCTTTGTTCATCCCTGGCAGCATAGCGGCAGGACATCCTCAGCAGGGTGAGGGAGCATCCTCATGGCTTCCCTGGTGGTTCTGGTGAAGCTGTTGGGGAAAACGAAGACCCTCTTTATGGTAAATAAGGAAGCCGTCCTGTCCCATAGGTCCAAACCGCTCCTCTCTGCACACAGTTTGCTCTCCAGATCTGAGCGGAGCCTTGCAGCTTTGTTTGTGCACTTCTTTTCCAAAATGCTCACCTTACACATGCTGAGAAGAGACAGTATTACATTTTAGATATTTAGATTTGATTTATCAAAGACACAGCAGAAACAGGTCTGCGTAATGAAAGCAGACTTTTAAAAGATACAAATTATCCAACTATTAAACCACCACTCTAATATGATTTAAAACAGACCCTGACTCCAGGCCAACTTTAAATCCAGCTAAAAGTCCAGGAAAAGCAGTGATGTGAACTTACACAGTGCGCCAATTCCTCATGTTAGACGCTCAGGCAGATGTGAGATGTTCAGGACCTCGATGGGGTTTTCAGTGTTATGATTTCACCAACCAAGACCGTCCTCCTTTATATGCTTCATGACAAATTTCCCACTGATTTAATGCGCTGCTGGTTCTCACCACAATTGGCCAATCACAAAGCAATCTGATGTCAAAAGAAAGTGAATAAATTAGTTGAATTCCTGGTAAACAATGAAACAGAAGGGAGGGGCTCCTATGATGGTTTATAATAGGAATATCCTGGGAATTTTGGATGAAAAACTTGTTTCTGGTGTGTGTTCGGGTGCCCCTGTTTAGCAGTTTTTATTTTTATTTCTAAGTTTTTACATATAGGTTTATGTTTTTTGTCCAAATGTTAGATAAAATATACATGTTTGAAAAAATGTAGCAAGCAAAACCAGCAGACATCCTGAGATAGCTTTAGTTGAGTCCTTTAATCTACACTGCAAGAAACTGAAATCTAAATAAGTGCATTTCTTCTTGGATTTAGGAGGTGACACACTTTGCCAATGGAACAAGATGATTTACATCTAAAATAAGAAAAAACAATTGGATTGTTTTCCCTCAAGTGCATTATATCTAATTATCTTATTTTAAGAGGGAAAGTACTCATTCCATGGGCAAACAACTTATTTAACAACTTCAATTAAGGGTAAGTATACTTAATTTAAGATATGCTGACTTATTTCTGGATAATTTTTCCAGTGTAAAAAACAATCCTCATAAATAAGAAGTCACAGCTCCTCAAATTTGTCTGAAAATCAAGCCCTAAAAAAAAGGATTCTCAGCTTACACACATTTGATCTTTTTATTTAACGTCTCGTCTCTATTTCAGCCTCTATTTCTCACGGTGAACATCTCTCATGCTTCACTGACTGACAAAAGCACTCGATCCATCCAGATGGTGTGTCTGGAAGCCCAGTTGACAACTTCACCTTCTTTGGTGCGTGTGTGTGTGCCTTAAAGGGTGGGTTGGTCACTAGGCCTTTGTTTGATGGGGCACACTTCCTTTGTGCAGCCTGCCTTGGAGTCATTAACACTGAAGTGTGGGAAGCCTGGGACCACAGCAGCTCCCACGTTCCACACTGGCAGGAAGGGAGCGTGTGACCAAGACGTGGCCAGCGGCAGGCAGATCAGCCAGTTGTGTGTGTGTGTGTGTATGAGGAGGGGGGTTGTGCCTGAGGTGTTGACATGTGCTGAGAGCGGGTAAGCTAACAATTGAAGCATGCCTCTGACACTTTACTAACTTCATTCATTGTAATCCAAGATGGTGGTCATCAGACAAAAAGACTACGTTTGAAAGGATTTTTGTAATCTAGCGCTAAAGAACATAAAAGATTAAAATCTGATGGTGAAACCAGAGTTCCTAAAATTATTTAAGCTTAAATATATGAAGCACCCAGATATTCTAAAGATGTTTTCTTGCAGAAATCATACATCCTCTCAGAAACAGCCCCAGACCATCACACCACCACCACCATGTTTACCTCATGTGTTCTCTTTCCTTCTGCTTTGTTATTGTTTGATTCCACAGACTCTGTCTAATTCATGATGACTGAATCTAACTGAGGGGACACCTACAGTGTTATAGGTGTCTGAACGGCCTAGTTAAAGTGCTGCCTTAAATACTACTGATAATCTGAGAAAAGATGTTCAGAGATGCTCCCCATCCAACCTGAAATCACAGGCAAAATTATTGGGAACATATATGGTTGAACCAATACTGAAAGGAGAAACATGGCTTGTCGTTCATAGAGAAGCTTTCTTCATGTAACTGGGAACAGACCACTGTGAATTCCCCTCCTTGAACGTGTGCAACAATTTAATATTTTCCCCATTTTATCTTGTTTTTTTCTTCTTTAGATTTGGAAATTATATAAATGTAATACTCCTGCTTTTTAAACGTCAACAGTAAAATCATGCTCCATGTTGTTTGGGTTTAGTTTGTCAATAAAATTTCCTTTTGTCTGGTCCAAATGTTAAATGTGAAAAGTATGACAATACTTTTGCAAGCAAGTGCATGATTTAGTGTAATATTTCACTTATATTTACTTTATTAAGACAACAGAAAAATACATTAGTAAGTTAAAATCAGTACTCAGTTCACATATGCATATTTTTATCCAGATGCCTCCAGAAAAAAACTTCTCTTTTCTTTGCATTTCTTAGCTGTCCCAACTGTTGCGTCGCAGCACCAGAAGATTTTCCCGCCTCAAACAGGTGGAAGTGGCTGCATGTTGGTCTTTTCAAGTAGCTGGCCCTGTGTAACACCCACGTGTGCCTGGTGGCAGCGGCACTTTGTCTGCAATTACGTGGCAGTAGAGATGACATGAGACAGCGGCATACTTCCATCCGGGGTCACCACTTTCCCATATCAACACAAGCGGCGGGTCATTCTCCCAGCTCCAGTCCCCCTCCTCCTCCCTGCCCGCTCCACCCCAGGCTCTTTCTCTTGTGGTTTATTTCTCCACCTGCTCCCCAGAGGCACACTCATTGTCCCCATGGCTATAAACACTTCATTGAGCATGTGGCAGCCCTGCGTTCCCTGAGGCCCTTCCCAGCGCTCCCATTGGTCCAGGGACTGTGAGAAACTCCAACAAGCCTACGACTCAGACATTCATATGGAGATCTGGGTGTATAAATACAGGACAGAAGCCGAGGGGACAGCAGCACAGACTCAACTGGCTCTTCAGACTGAGCTGAAACACTCTTACTCTGCAGCAATGGCGCCTACTGCTTATGGACAAGCAAGCAAGGACCACCTGACTCCTGCTCACAAGGTAAACTTCTCTTCCATGAGCTTTGACACTCTCCTCAAATAATGTTGGTGAAAAGCCACTTGGTTTTTATTCAAGTTGACTTAAGTATTTTTCTTCTTATTTCCTCCAGCTAAGGAAGCCAATGGTGGAGAAATTACGTAGGGACCGCATCAACACCAGCATCGAGCAGCTGAAATCGCTTCTGGGTCCTGAGTTTCTCAGACAGCAGCCGGACTCAAAGCAGGAGAAGGCTGACATCTTGGAGATGGCCGTGTCGTATCTGAGAAGCTGGCAGCAGCAGAAGCTCCAGTTACAGCAGCAGCAGAGCCTCCTGACCTCTGGCCCCCTGACAGCCTGGGATGGCTACTCCCGCTGCGTCCAGGAGGCCGTCAGCTTCTTGTCCCGCTGTGAGGTCCAGACTCAGGCCCATAGGCTGCTCCTCAGCCACTTCCAGGGGCTTCAGGCTCCCAGCAGGAACAGTCTCAGCCCTTGCAGCCCCTCTCCTCCTGGCTCTCCTCTTCATCAGGTCAGCCCCAGTAAGGGTCTGAGCCCAACCAGCAGCGCTCTATGGAGACCCTGGTAAAAGAGAGATCTTCAAACAGAGAGAGACCTAAGTCTGTGAACGTCATGGACAGACAGTAAAGACTCCTTGGAGTTTCCTATCCTTCATCATGGCACCAGTTTGGCTCTGTGAGATGAAACTGTGCCAATATTCCTGTGGGAAGGACTGAAAACATTCAGGTTTTAATGAATATTGACGCAATGTGTGTTAATATTGCAAATCTGTTTAAAATACTCTGTGTTACAGTATCTGTTCCTGCAGGGAATGTTAACAGCAAACATTGCTTTATTAGTTGAACCATATTGGTTTTAAACTATTTTAATGTCTGGGACATGTATGTGAATGGTGTGTGAATTGATAATATCAATGACATATTTTTCATCAGCCTGCAGCCGGTGAAGTAAAAAAAAAAGAGCCATAAAATGATCCGGTGGATCCATGTTTACTGTAATCCCATTGGGATTATAAGCCTTATTTGTAACCATTATTTGATTTTTATTTGAACGAGTGTTACTGGAAGTTATATTTCCTGTCTACTTATGATATCCATGATAGATGTTTTTCATCTGCTACCTGATTCCTTTTATAAAGGTATTTCACTCCAGCTTCAGACTTTACTGTAAGAAATGCTTGTATTGCTTCTTTGAGAAGTTTACGTTTGTAATAAATAAACTTCTGATGAAGTTTTAAACCCAATAACATCTGTGTTTCTCTTTTAATTACTATGCCATACAGCCTTTCTCGGTCTCTTTATTAAGATATCGGATTCATGGGGAGAAGGTTTCATGGGATAAAGAAATATATGCAGCTGCAACACAAACAGCAGGAGGGTAATTTATTAACCTTAAAAGCTTACAGAAAAAGTGAGAAAGGCGGAAGAAAACAATGTGAAGAGCATGCAGCAGTGGATAAAAGTATTAAGCTTTATGACATGTGAACACATATTGTAAATACTATAGCCTTGTATGAATCTATCAAGGGGTTTATTCCAGTTACTAAATCACAAAGACCTTCTTAGATTATACAGACAACCAGCAGGTCAAAAAATAAATCTAATTTCTAAATGAGTCACTAATAGCATTTTAAAAGGGATTTCCTGCTGTTTGAAATTTTGATGAAGTTTGAAATTTTTATTTTAAACTGAATGTCTAAGCAGACAGCTATAAAAAATGCATAAAAGTAAAACACAAAACAGATATTATTAGTTCATTTATATAAAGAAAATGTTCTTAACAGTGATCCACCATTTAAAGAGTCTGAACTAGCAAGGGGTTTTTAGCTATCCGGTGGTTCTGGTTCTGATATTCAACAAGTTCAGCTAAAGGGTGAGAGCGTTTTCCCCTGAAGGGACCCTGATCAGCCATGATGCTAAAGATGCACATGACAACTATCTAAACACAGACCCGGCTGCAGAAAGATATTAAAGGGGGTCATAAAATTTTTTGGAGGGGGGGCACTTTTTCTGCAAACATTTGATTTACTTCCGCCTTAACATTGGCATTGTGATCGTTCAATCAGCAAAAGAAATCTAAAATCTCTTTAAAAAGATTTATTAAAAAGATTTTAAAATCTTTCAAGAAAAATTGGCTGAATTAGAATTCAGTGTTTGTTTAATTCTTAGTGTTGCTTGAAAAAAAAGTGTCCTGACAACCAGAGCTGTGAAATGTAAAGATGCTGAAACGGAAGTCTGCTTGTTTCTGGTTCTCCTGAGATTCTTTTTAAAACCAGCTCTAGACTAACAGTTGAAACTCCACTGGTTCATTATTCCAGCAATAAGCCCCCACTCGCTGTGGCTTCATATGCAATGTAATGATGAGTTTTCCCTCATGTGCTGAAACATCATGGTGTTTACCCTCCTGCCACCTTTTGGATAATTTATTTGTTTTTGTCATGAAAATCCTAATATGAGTTACAAAAAGGTCTGTTCTTCCTTATATAGAATAAATGAACCAACTGTGGATGTCTTTAGAATAAAAGAAGATATTAGTGATATTTATTATTTTAATAACGATAAACGGGAGCCATGTTTGGAGGCTTTGGTCCTCAATGCAGCTGTCACCGGTTTACATCCTGGACTTGTTACCTTTGCCCTTTTCTGTCGTCCCATTTCCTGTGTGCCAACTTTCAAAAATAAAAGCTGCTAGAGCCTAGGAAGTAATCTTTTAAAAATGTGCAGCTTTTTTCAGATTGCTCTCTACTTTCAGGTATAGATATTTATAGATTATCTGCTCCCTTGTTTCAGGTATTTTATTGTCTGTTTTTCCTCTACTACAAAAGTCTCAAAGTTCTACAACTAAAAGAAAGAAAAAATGTTTGACATCGAGCGTGTCAATAAATATTATTAAGAATAAAGGACATAAACCTCTTAATTAGCAAAAGGTACTTAACCTAACTTGGTAGTCTTTGGTAGTGGGAGGAAGCCAAAGAACCACAGCATGCAGGAAGATCCTCCCTGGAATTCAGACCAAAGGTCTTCTGCTGCCTGGCATCACTGCTAACTGGGCCAACAGTAACTTAGAGCCTGATAGATGGTGAGTGGTGGGATTACAGCTTCACTCTCTGTTGTTTCATTAAAGGGACCAGCTTTAAAAGTCAGCGATGTTAGGATCATGAGAAAACTTCCACTCAGTGATGTGAGGAACCTATTCAGGATGATGACTTTCCCATATCTTAACGATCCTTCAGTTTTTAATGCCGCACGTAAATAATCAATTCAAACATGTTAAAAAACCCATAACCGAATCAGTCCATTTGATTCTTTAAAGCACCATGTAGAAGCCAATTATATTTTGTTAATAATTAACGTTTTTTGTTTTTGTGCATAATCTAGCTAAGTTTATTTTACTTTATTGTTTGATATCTGTTATGAGATTATGTTTTTTGGTTATTTAGTCATGTTCCTTTGTTTTTGGTTAGTTATGTTTAATTTGGGTTAATTATTTTTATAAATAGGCAGTCAATGGTAGTACCAGCATGCATCTGGGTGGGTGTATGGTTTATTACCACTGCAAGAGAAACATGGAGGAAATGTGTGTTTTTTCCTGTTTGCTTGTCTGAGGAAAAAATAAACGGAGAAAACTAAAGGAGTTTACCTGGAACATTTTTTTCTTTTGCCTGCATAAAATCAGTCCTTGGTGCATCTGTGGCCTTTTTTTGTGTCATCAAAGCTGGGCCACAATACATGGATTCATTTAAAAGTGGGACATGATCGTTATGAAGCCAACTAACCTTTATTTTAATTAAGCTGAGCGCACTGGGCACTAGGTGCTGTTTTATCTGCGCTGCCATGATCAGGTACCTGGGCAGCTCCAAAAAAAAATAATTTTAATCACTATAAATGTATCCAATCAAATTTGATCCATTAAAAATAAACATTTAGAAAAATAACACTGTTCTGCATCACTAAATGTCACATCTAAAGTACTTCTCACAGAGATTCTTAACATCCTATTTTGTACAGCTTTGTTTCGGAACAGGTGTTTTTAAAAAACTGAGAAATGGAGACGCCCCTGCAGGTCAAACGCTCCACTTTCCTCTCCTGCAGTGGTTGAAGGATGACGTTGAAATATGTCTCAAGTGCTCCTTAAGTCTTTCAAAACTTTTTTTTTTTTCTGTGTCCAGAAGTTGTGGAGAATGGGGCATGCCTGCCTGAGACTTTCTCAGGGTCTAGTATGCCAGGCCAGATGGTCTGGCTGAAGCCGCCCCCTCCCCTTCTTCCCCTTCAACAGGAGATCAAACACCGTAGCTAATGTGATGTGTAACAAGACACACTTCTATTGTCCCCCATCTCAGGGCCTGTGAATAGGCGCAGAGTGTGGGAAACGAGAGATACCACACTCACAGAGAGATGGCTGATGGGTAGCAGCCCCGCGCCGCCGCAGGTCTCAGTGATGGACGGGATTTTATGGCAGGAATTCAGAGCTCTCAGGCTGCTGGTGGGAGGGGAACCCATCTTCCCACACACTTGTAGACAAAGAGCTCCAGCGACAGTGTGCTGCTCACAAACCTTTGTGGGAAGGGCTGATTTTACACAGACATGTCAGGTATGACAACAACAGACAGTCGCCCTATTTTTATATAATGAATATTTAACAAACGTGAAGGGGAGAGGAGAAAGAAAAAGCAGCCTGGGAATTTTTCATAGAATTTTGTTTCAATAACAAACCCACTCCCACTGAAAGTCTAAGCGCCAACATTCCCCCACATCAAAAACCTTTAAGAGATTTTCATGCTAATCTGAACTACTTATCATTCAATGCAGCCAAACCTACTCAGAAATCATGTTATGGGTAAACAGAGCACACCTGTGTTTTAAATTCACCTAAGGATCCATCCAGCTGTGATGCAGCAAACATCTCACAGGGGTCAGGGAGAAAGCTGTGAAGAAGTTAAAACCAAAATCCCAAAGTATTACAATAATAAAAAGTCATGGATGACCATCTAAACTGACATGGAGGGTAAACATAGAATAAAAATAGCCTTCATTGTCCCTAATCTCTCTGGCAAAAGCCCAGCTTGCAACAAAAATAAGAATAAGCGACTCTACACAAGAAGAAACCTACTGTATATCTATTGAAAAAATGCAGCAGTAGTATATTTGTTTAGGTAATATTAATGAGAGAAGCATAAGATGTTAAATTTCTGTAGAGGAGCAGCAGAGATATACAGCTTAAATTAGAGAATCTGTTTTTGGGACAACCTGTCATGATGGGTTTCAGGTGCCTAGCCCACATGCAGAACACACTCTGAGAAGGGAGGAAAGTTTAACAAGTTTATTGAAGGCTCAAGCACGAAGATAGTACAGATGACTGGATGTGATCTGGGGACTGGTTCACTGGAGTCTTGGAGAGCACAGATAAAGCTTTGAGAGAGTCTCTGTTGGATCTGGAGAAGAGTTAATCAGCAGAGTCCGTTTGCTGCTTCAGCGTCTCACGTCCACTAAGAACAGACCTTGGCTTTGGGATTCAGGTTTGGCTCTGAGGGTCGACCCGGCAGGTTAGCTCGTCCTGAGCTTTCTCTGAGGAGACACAGGTTTCCTAGAAGACAGAGATAATGGTTAGAATCCAAGCTGGATTCAAAAGTCATGGAGTTACACTGTGGATCTAGGCTTAAGCGCTGACCAACTGGAGCAACACTCTGGCAAGGAAGGGAAGCTCAGCAGCTGCTTATAAAGCTGATCTCCTGATGACTGATGGATCACAGGTGTGGTCCTCAGCTCAGCGCCAGGAGACCAAAGGGCGCCCTCTGCTGGAGGAAGGGGGACAGACCTCCAGATCCCAACAGTACCCCCCCCTCAAGGGCGGATACCAGACGCTTCAGAACAAACCTAAGGAAACAAGGGAACAAAAAACAACCCACCAAAGGTGGCCGGAGGGAGCACCAGGCAATGAAGGCAAAAGGCAGAGTCCATAACAAAAAACAACCCACCCAGGGTGGGCGAAGGGGAAAAAAAAAAGAAAGAAAAAAAACTGAGTCCTAGAACAAAAAACAATCCACTTATGGTGGATGAAAACAAAGAAAGTCTCAGATAATTTTACCGGGAGAACACCGGTAGCAGCTCAGAAACAGGTTCAGAGCGGGGCCACCCACTGCGGCGCAGGAGCAGATTCAGAGGGGACCGCCGACTGTGGCTCAGGCCGCTGCATGGAGAGAGCCGCCCATGACGACTCAGGTGCAGCCTCCGAGGAATCCTGGTGCGCCCACCGTGGGTTCCTGGATGCTCGGAGCGGCCGCCGAGGGACTCCTGTAGGTTCGGCGGAGCGGGGACTGGATGACCAACTGGAGGCTTGGCAGGAGGAAGACCACGATTCGACGTGTCTATGAGTCCAGTTTATATGACGGTTGTGTCGCTCCAACCACTCATAACCCAGAACCAAGGGAGAACAGGCTGAATGGAAAACAAAAAAGGTTATGGTCTCTCGGTGACTACCAGAAACTTGTAGCAGAAGAGGCTGAGTCTTGTGGGTAACTTGGTGTAGACTCCTTCCATCAATGGCTGAGACATTGAGAGGCTTCCTCAGAGGGATGGTCTCAATGTTCAGCTGTCGAACTAGGTTAGAGTCAATGAGGTTTCTCTCACAACCAGAGTCTATGAAGGCTGACAGAGTGAGAGTCCGATCGGAACAAAACAGAGTTGCAGGTAACAGAAGATGAGGAGATCTTCTATTTAATTGACGCTTCACCTGATTCCTCAAAATTTCAGAAGAGCCCCAAATCCTTTTCTTAGCTGGACAGGAAGAAACAAAGTGTCCAGGTATACCACAATAGATGCAAAGCTTATTTCTATACCTTCTTTTCCTCTCATCGGGTGTGAGCCTAGTGTGACCAATCTGCATTGGCTCCCCCTCAGTTGGTTCAGAAGCAGGTTGAACAAAATGAGTTTTAGAGAAGGGTTCAGATTCTGGCTGGGCACGGCTCTCAGATTTGAACGCCTCTTCGGGAGAAACAAAGGAAGGGGTGTCCCTTCTCCTAGCAGTAGAAACAGTCACTGGAAGAACATGATTCTTAATCTTGGACTTGGATCTAGTTCGAAGACGGTTGTCCAAGCTAATTGTCAACCTGATGAATTCCTCCAAAGTTTCAGGTGTCTCGAGTGTGGCGAGTTCATCTTTAACGTTCTCGTTTAAGGCGTTGAAAAAAGCACTCTTAAGTGCACACTCGTTCCAGCCTGAGGCTGCAGCTTTAACCCGGAAGTCAATGGAAAAATCTGCTACTGAGGAATTTCCCTGTTTAAGATTCAACAGAGCACGAGAGTCGATTGTTTGGTCTGAATCATGGTTGAACACTTGGGAAAACTCGGAAACAAAATCGGAAAAATCACATCTGAGGCTGTCTTCAGAGGCAAACCTTGCCTGCGCCCACTCTAGGGCACGTCCGGTTAGTTGGGACAGAATAAACGTTAATTTTTGGTGATCAGTTGGGAAACTGCCAGGAGAGTTCTGAAAAATAAGTCGGCACTGAAACAAAAATCCCTTACATTTGCTAGGGATACCTGAAAATTTCTCTGGGAGAGATGGACGGAATTCCGGAAGTGACGTGACTGGCTCCGGTCTCAGAGGCGGATCTGGAACCGGAACAGGAAGTTGAACAGGCTCCGCTCTAGGAGTTGATTGACTGCAAAAACCGACAAAATTCTGCAAAAATGCATCAAATCGTGTGTTAAACTCACGAGAGATGTTTTCCAGTTTCCCCATTAGCCGATCGTGGACATCATGAATGGCGCTCTCAAATCTCCTAGCCTGATCATCGTGGCTCTCACGGAGGGAGGTTTTGAGGCTCTGAATCTGAGCTTCCTGATCCTTTAGTATCCTCCAGAGTGGTTCCGCTGGGTTAGTTGTCTGGCCAGAGTGTTCTGTCATGATGGGTTTCAGGTGCCTAGCCCACATGCAGAACACACTCTGAGAAGGGAGGAAAGTTTAACAAGTTTATTGAAGGCTCAAGCACGAAGATAGTACAGATGACTGGATGTGATCTGGGGACTGGTTCACTGGAGTCTTGGAGAGCACAGATAAAGCTTTGAGAGAGTCTCTGTTGGATCTGGAGAAGAGTTCATCAGCAGAGTCCGTTTGCTGCTTCAGCGTCTCACGTCCACTAAGAACAGACCTTGGCTTTGGGATTTCCCAGCTCTTGCCCAGAGCTGCTTGGAGGTTCTCTGAGAATCTTCAGGTTTGGTTCTGAGGGTCGGCCCGGCAGGTTAGCTCGTCCTGAGCTTTCTCTGAGGAGACACAGGTTTCCTAGAAGACAGAGATAATGGTTAGAATCCAAGCTGGATTCAAAAGTCATGGAGTTACACTGTGGATCTAGGCTTAAGCGCTGACCAACTGGAGCAACACTCTGGCAAGGAAGGGAAGCTCAGCAGCTGCTTATAAAGCTGATCTCCTGATGACTGATGGATCACAGGTGTGGTCCTCAGCTCAGCGCCAGGAGACCAAAGGGCGCCCTCTGCTGGAGAAAGGGGGACAGACCTCCAGATCTCAACACAACCATTAGTGAAATATTCCACAAATCTGTCATTTATGGAAGAGTGACAAGAAGAAAGACACAATAAACCTATGGACAAGTGTTCCTAAAACTGGTGAAAATGTAACACAACACCACCCTGAACAAAGTGAGACATTAGCAGCAACATAATTCGAGGAAATCTCTTTAGCAGGAAAAGGTTTGGAGCTGAGGAGGAAATGGAAGGAGCTAAATACAAGGCTAACTTAAAGAAAAACCCTTTCATTAAAGGCTTTAAATGACTGGACACTGGAGCTGAGGTTAAGCTGTCAGTGATGCAGCCACAGCTGCAACAGAATGGCTTAGATTACAGCGCATGTGTATGTTAGCATGGCCTAGTCAAAGTTAAAATGTCCAATTAGGATAATTTGATAAGGTTTTGAAAATGATTTAATCAAGTTAGGTCTTTTTTTTTTTTGTAGCAACAAGTTAGCTGTACAGACTGCTTACTCTTTCCGTAAAAATTCAAAAAGAATATCCACTGGACTTGGTTTCCAAGATTTGAAGACGTTTCGCCACCTCTCTAGGAAGCTTTCTCAATTCAAAATCTGCTGACTCATTCAAACATAGCCTTGCTTTACTGCGGTGTCATCTCCCCATCTGTGAGTCTCTTTGGATAGAATGCATACATTTTAGAACGATAACCACTGAGTTTGTGTTGGTTTGTCACAATAAAACCCCATAAAATAGAACGAATTTGCCATTATAACGTTGTGACAAAAGCATTAAACTTGGATAGATATGAATACTTTTGTGTAATTGACTTATATGGGCAGACCTTCATGCAGAAACAATGTAATAATTCCGATTTTGCAAATATAAATGCTTCTTAGGTATCTAAATTGTCAGCGGCTACAGGCGGTGGCTGATGACACTGAACCACACAGGCTGCACTATGTCAGAAGCTAGTGGACTTGATTTTTCCCAGATGGACCCAGACACAGTGTTTCTGTTTGTTCCGCCACAGAGAGTCAATTAACATTCCTAGTTGATCATCATGGAGCTGCACACATTCCTCCTGATGTTGGGAAAACTGAAAAGATGGGAATGCTCACACAAGGCCAGCTACACATCTGGGGCCATCCAGTGATGCAGGCCCTGCGGTGGGTGGGTGGGGGGATGCAGTTGGGGACACAGCCGCCCCACTCGTCTTGAGACTGAGGACACTAATTTGACACTGGGTCAGCAGACCCTCAGGCAAAATCAGAGAGGAACTTGTAATAGCAGCTTTCCTCTGTGACCGCATCGTAATCCACATGGGAGCACCAATAATTGAAGACTGAGTGCAGCACTTTGAGGTAAATAGATACTCTGGAAATGAACAGGGATGAGCGATTAGTTACACATTATCTATATCCAACAGATCAGACTCTAAAGGAAAAACCCAAACCCCTTTTTTTTTTTTTTTTTTACAAAGATGCTTTGCTTCTATATTAATGCATAAAAAAAAATCCCTATCTATCATGACAAATTCTCAGATGACCCCTTGATACACTTTTAATTACCTGTTGCTTATCTTGGGAACTACACCAGGCACAGATACGTTCTCCCTGATTTATTGACGCGTCCTCCATTGTTGAGCTGGGAGTCCCACTGGTCGGAGTGTGGGAACCCCTGCCCGGCCTGAGCCACATGGCTTTGTTATGTTAATGAGGCAGTATAAAAGCTGGAGCAGCTCCTCCAGAGACATTAGAGCTAAGAGAGTTGCCTGCGAGAAGCGTATCAGTTTACTAGCACAGACATGTCCCCCTGCCCCAACAGCTACTCCTCTGTTCATCAGCTGAGGATGTCTGAGAGAGACAACATCAAAGTGAGTATAAACATATTTTTTGGGATTCTGAAAGCACATAGAGTGGGAAAGTAGGTTACTTATCTTTCTGCTGTTTCTTCCTTAGTTAAGAAAGCCTATAGTGGAGAAAATGCGCAGGGACCGTATCAACACCTGCATCGAGCAGCTCAAAGTCATCCTGGAGAAGGAGTTCCACAAGCAGGAGCCCAACTCCAAGCTGGAGAAAGCCGACATCCTGGAGATGACAGTGAGCTTCCTGAAGCAGCAGCTGCAGTCGGGCTTCTGTCAGGGAGACTTCAGCCAGAGTTACCCCCACTGCCTGAGGGACTCTGTGCATTTGCTATCTGTTGGATCAGCCACAAAGGCCTCTGCTGGACCTCAGCCGATCCTTCAGCATCAAGACTCTACTGCCCATCAGACACAGAGAGCCAGCAGCTGCTTCCCGCTCAGACCCAGCACACAGCTGGACAGCAGCAGCAGCAGAGGCTCTGTGTGGAGGCCATGGTAGACACTCTACTCTTTGACACCTGAGGGGGAATCATTCTCTCCCTCAATATGTAGGAAATATATTTCCATCCTGCTCATTCAGTGTGGGTTCACTTATTGTCTCATCACATTGATGGACAAGTAAAAGCCATGCGCTCCATGTTATGAAATCATTTGTTTTTCTCGGTGTTAAAATCTGAGGATTTCAGTGATGATAGTTTTTTTGTCAAATGATGTGAACGTTTACTCCGGTGGAGTTTATCTTGGGTCTGCTTTATGTGACAGTATATGTTTCTGACAGCCTTGGTTGAGAATATTTCTCTTCTGTTTAAACTATATATGCCAATCTTTTATGTCTGAGCCTATTTTCTACATGCTTCTGCACACAAATGGATGTATCTAATGATTTATGATTTGCATGTTGGTGTTTATGTTTTCCTTTAGGTTTCAGGCTTTTTTTTGTTAATTTTTCTAAAGCTTGTATGACAATTAATAATAAAGAATGCAATCACTTCAAAAAGAGTATTTTCTATCTGAGTGGAGAATCTTTGAATCATAAAGTAACACACATTATGCTATATTTACAAAAAACATACATAAACACTGTACTTAGAAGGTATTTAAAAATCCCAATATGTTCGTTAAATGGTTCTATTTCATCCTACTTTTTGCTTTACCCTGCTTTATTTTACAGGTGCTTCACATAAGAGGGGGCCTGTTATGCATAAATAATACAGTAACCTTACAGGGTTCATTTAAAAGCACTCATACTTCTCAGATGTTTTGCTTACAATATTTTTGTCTCAACTTCCAACTTTAGTACCTTGTTGGGATTTTATGTGATACACCAACATTAAGCAGATGCATGTTAGGGGGTTTGGTTTTCCTTACTAATATCATTTTTTTCAAGTTGCCTACAGCCTCCATCAGATTTAATAACAGGGCTGTTTTGTTGCTACAGAGAAAAAAAGGTTCCCACAGCATGATGCCGCCACCACTGGATTTTAGGGTAGGGATGATATATTCAGGAGTTAGATTTCTGCCACAGGTAGAAAACTAAAAAGCTCCATTTTAGTTCACTAGGGCATGAATAACTTGTTTCTCATTTCAATGCTTCTAATGCTCCTTCTAGTTTTCTTCTTTTCTGCCACCTTTCTGTAAAGGTTAGATTTATGGAGTGAATTAAATCTTAGTCGTTCCTTCTAGTTCACTCGCCTGAACTGTGGATCTAAATTGTACCTCCAGAGGTTTTCCAGTTGCTTATTTGCTGCTTTTCTCTGAAATGCTCACCTTGCTTTGCCTGCACAAAGTTTGCACTTATGGTAATATTCTTTTTGTATTTTGAAATAATGGATTAAACTATGCTCAATAATCTCCATGAAATGCTTAAAATGCCTCCATATGATTTCATTTCTAAAAACTTTAAATTGTAGCCAAGACATTTTGCAGCAATAATTTGTCACTCATATCCAACAAAGCATAATTGCTTTTATTACATTTCCATAAATCTATCTTAAAGAAAATAATTGCCATATCAGTTCTTTACAAATATTAATAGCCTCCACAATACCTCCAATTTAGATACAACTAAAACATTCCTTTCTCCACTCAACTGTATAAAGTTTCTATGAACATTAAAATAGTGCTGAACAGCTGCCTGCTTTCCTCTGGTACACAGTGAAACAGTGAGACCACAATTAACTTACAACCATTTACAGGGTTTTATGGGAGATTAGGAAAAAAAAAACTTCAGAACTCCATTTTGGAGAAGTCCAGTAAAGTTGAATCTTTCCAAACTCATGCCTACTGTTAAGTATGATGGAGGACCAGTGGTGATGTGGGCCTGCTGCTCTTCCTAACTTTATGTGAGAGTGTTTTTATAGTGAATGACATAAATCTCTGAAGCACCAGAGCGTCATTACAGACTTGGTTCCCCAAGACACAAGCTAATGTTCTTCTGTCTCTAGAGCTAACTCCTAAAGCAAACTGAAGCAGAAGGTTTTCTGCATTGTCATGGGATTGGATTATGTCACAGCGGTACATGTAAAATCATTCCTAGTATTTTTTTACACTGTTACTATTGCTGCAAATAAAAGAGGCAAGCTGTGTTCTGATTTAAAAATAAAAGCAGAAATTAAAAAAAAATATTCCACAAAAAGCGATGTTTTCTGGCATATTTTAAAAAGACCTACAGTTAAAAGCTTGATACCAACTCAATGGATAACAATGAAACACACAAACATATAAAGCAGACCAACGTCACAGCAATCAGTCTCTCTATATTACATCTAATCATTTATTTCTTTATTTGAACAATAACTGCCTATTTATTCAACATGAACCAATGAATAAGTGACTTGGTGATTCCAAACCTTTGACATTGCTATTAGCAATCACAAACTATAGGCAAAACAGTCCTTCTTAACAACAAAAGTAAAGTCTTAAAAAAAAAATTGGACAAGATAATCTACAGATTAGATAATCTATTATGAGTCTTTTACAGAAGAAGAATGTGTGTCCTGTTGAATGACCTGAGTAAGGTGCAATCATTCCAAGTGTTCATAAAGAAAGTAATAAGATGAAATTAGTTAAATTAAGCGAAATTAAGATATTCTTAAGCCCAGAATGTGATTTGTTTGATGAAATATATTCTCTCTCATAATCTGAAGTCTGTGTGACTCTGCTGACCTATTTCCCTTATCTACCTTTGCAGAGATAAAACAGCTGTAAGTGAAAAAGAATCAGACGATTAGGAATATGAAATGATTTTCATGTATCTGTGATAAATTACTCTCTATAATGATAACAAAAATGTCTTTAATAAGTTTTAAAAGTCTAACAATGATTGCTAAAACATAATGCAATGTGTGAAAGCAACTCTGCAGTAAAGTCACCAACTTTTTAACAAAAGATCTGGGGATACCAATAAAATGTCTACAATAAACAAACTTGGGCTTAAATAAATCTGAAAGAATCATTTTTGCAAAGCTGATGTTCACTTTCTCTGACATCCTGGTGTGTTGGACAGAGAACTGCTGTGAGGTGCATATCTAGGCTTTATAACATCTGACCTTGTGTCCCTGGAGGACCTGTTCCTCATTTACTGTATATTACCATAACAAAGCCATGCAGTGCTTTGGAAAAGCTTTGGCTTGAAACACCAGAAATCCCAAATCAAGGTGACCAGCAGAGATAAAACCATTCCAATTAAATGAATCAGAGCGATAGTGATAAGCATTCCACCTCTCATCAGAATCTGCTGCTTATCTGACTCTCAGCAGCCACCCAGAGGAATAGAGACCACCTCGCCTCTTCATAGGTGTCTGGGGAATAAGTAAAGAGAGCTTAATAGATCAGTGTCATCCAGTGAGAAGCTGTTAAAAGAAAGATTAAAATCACTGATTTGTTGCTGCTATAAATTATTTTTTTCTTAAATAAATCCATAGATAAAATATTTTTTATATTTCTATGATAACTTAATGCAGAAGAAATTCACTTTGATTAGAAGATTTTTTTTTTTATTTAAAATTAATGTTTTTTTTTCTGTGGATATAAACATTTAGATACATGAGTTTGAAGAAGAATCAAAATTTACTGTATTTACGGTAGTCTTTTTTGTTTTGTTCCTTTCTTCAGTTATAGAAGCAGAATCAAATGTGAATAAGACTTCTGAACTCCAGCCGTTGCTTTGGCCTTTATGCGCTGCCACAATAAAACTCCTGCTTGTTCAGCCGTGGCACACTTCGATTGTTGACGGAGGGTCTTTGGCTGCGAGTGGACAGACAGACTGTGGGAAAGCTGAGCCCGGACTCTACTCACACATCTACTGGTCAATAGTGCTGACCTCCTGGTTACAAAGGGTCCTTTCATCTCTCTCTCCTCACAAACAGCAGCCAACAGCGCACACACACACACTCACCCACACACACGTCCAGAGGTAGATTTAGCATGTATTTTAAATCATGAGTGACGCCATGCTGCAGTTTATAGACTTCGCTTTTGGAACCAGCTTGCACTCATAATTGGAACATGGAAAACATCACTTTTCTTGTCAAAGCTGCCAAATAGGAAGGACTTTCCGAACTGTGTGGAGTTTTTAAAACGTATAACAGTTGTATTCATACTCCTTGGATCTTTGTCAAATTTGTAACATTTGTAAGGTCTTATCACACCTTGCGAACTGCAACAACAAACTACAATTTTTAATGCAATTTGATGTGTTAGATCACCAAAGAGTAGTACATT